TTTATTACACATTGCGGTTTCAAATGATTTAGAGAAACTTGGGAGTAAGCTTATGGGTCTGTAATTTTCAATGCAATTTTTATCCCCATTTTTGTGTAATGATTGTATAACTGAAAGCTTAAGTTGCGAAGGAAAAATGCCAAAATTCAATGAATTGTTAATTATGTGTGTTAAAATATCTTTAATTAATATTGTGCATTTCAAATTATTTGACATTGCAACCACGTCATTTGGATTGTAAAAAATAGTAACACGTACGGAATTTTCAAAAGTAGGTTAAAGAAAATTTGAATGAATCATTGTTTTTATAGCCTAGAAGAATTTGATAACTTACTTTCTAACAGTGTTAACTGAGTTCATAGTGTTTATTGTGCTTTATGATTTTTTATATTTATATCAAGACGTCTTGTATACTTGTTTCTATGTGTCATTGAGTAATATTAGGTTTACATCCTCACCAATGTAGTATGTCCATGTATATATATGTATATACTCTATTTTGTCAATGTAAATGATCTTTTGACCTGTAAACTAGTAATTTTTTTGTAGTAAGTGTGTGGGTTTTACATCTCATCAGACACGTCCAATCCATTGTATAATAGGAAAACGAATTTAATAGAATTTGATTTGAATTGATTTTAAATATTTAAGCTGTTGGATTCCATCCAGAAAAGAGATTGGAGACGCGAACATTACTTGCAACCTCGATAGTCTCGAACATCGAAGAAAAGTTGGAGATTTGTCTCTCTTCTATAGATACTTGAGGTGTTCAAGTGACTTGGCACATTTGATTCCACCAAGAGCGGTACATATCAGAAATACGCGACGTACTGTGGCTGCTCATCGTTTTGAGGTTCAACTCAGTACATCTCGAACTTCACTGTTTAAAAACTCTTTCATTTGGAGAACTACGTTTATGTGGAATAAACTTCCTGAGAACGTTTTTCCAAATTCCAGCGATTCAGATTGAATCGCTACTTTCGCACAGGCCCGCTCTTAGAGCGCCTTAAAGATCTTCTTGTAGTGCTTGTGTTTTGTTTTAAAAAAAGCCTCTCCTTCCTATTAAAAAAAAAGTTGTCAACGCCATCTCGGCGACGAGTGATGCAACCCTATCGTCTCTCTCATCAAAAAGTACTGAAAATTATATCGTGTGTGTGTTTTATCATGTATTTTATTGACAAAATGGTTTAGACTTTCGCGGCTGAGGTTTTCAGTGTCACTGTTTTTCGAGTTTGAAAGCCGTGGAAGAAATTCCAAAAATCCATGGTTTTCAAACTCGAAAAACAGTGACAATGTATTTTATTGATGACACATGCATATTCTTTCTTTGTCACAACTGTATATTTCAATCAATGAAGAATATTATTAACCAGGATTAAAGGAACATTTCCAATAGTATCAATCGATAATAAACAGTCTGACAAATTAGTAAATATCATGTTTTCTTTATAGCAACCATTCAGTGTGACCATAAACTTATCAACATTATTGAAGATGGATTTCCACTCCCATACATCCCAGACCGAGGTGATGGGACTGGTGGCCGGTTTTTGGACGCCCCAGTCTGAAACCCTCACCATCTGTCACTACGAACCCTGCCGAAATATTGCTTCCTCTGCTACCCACTGCGACATGTGTCCCATCTCCCAAGCCAAAGCTGCCGATACGGTACATAGCATGGGCCACGACATTTTAGGATGGTTTCACTCTCATCCCACTTTCGCTCCGGAACCTTCAAATCAAGATTTGGAAACGCAAACGGTCTTGCAGCAGTGGATCGGTCGGGATAAACCGTGCGTTGGTGTTATAATGTCTCCGTTCAGTTCGAATGGAGCTCTGATAGCTTCGCCTGTCAGGTAAATTTTTGTTATGGTTCTTAGTATTACTACAAACTTTCGAAAATATATGGATACATCAATTAATAGTATAAACTTTATTAAAAGTAATTAATATGCATCCCAAAAATTTAAATTGATTTATATTTCCATTAGGAATAAAACCTGATGTGTGTCTATTAGCATAAAACTCATTTCGACAAGTGGAAGAATAATCGAAAATCAATGTGAAATGGGGAAACATTCAACAATTACTTCATAAAAGTTGGCCCTAATGTATCAGCTACCGTTCCCACTAAATATGATTCCCAATAAAATCATTAGTTCCTTCGATGTATTTGAAACATTCCAATACTGAAGATAGAAAAAATCTTCAGCTTGTTAGAAATAAAACAGTTTCTTGGTTCGGCAATTTCTTTGTTAACATTTTTGATGAACTAAAAATCAGAAATTTCACCTTTGATGGGTAAATTGATAAATGTTTTCTATTGGCTCAGTTACCTGATTAATCAAAAATTGTCAAACCAATTTTCAGGTCAGAAAAAATATATTCTCATGAATTACATATCAATTTTATTTCTGTCTGTATTGTCTAAAATAATCTAAAAAGCAATACACTGTTTATCAGAATAGCTGGAAAAATCGAATTTGCCGTGTAACGTGCAGGAAGAACTTTGAAGATCTATATTTATTTATTTATTTTCAAACAAGTGAAAACCTCATTACATGAAAATAGTTATTCTAATAAAAATGTCAATAGAGACTAAATCATAAATAGAATTCTAATATATATATATGTGAATACACTTACATTGTATCTACGAGTAGTTACTAGAAAAAGCCGAATGGAAGGAAAAAACAGTTATTCTAAACTTGAAAAGTATTTTTTTACACCACTATAAACTTGTTTGGGAGGGAGAACAAAGTTGATATCTGACATTAACAGGAAGTTGTTTGTTATTTTGATCATTGTAATGATAGGTGAACAGTTATTTGTTGATACATATGGTACATCAAAGAATTGAATGAGTCTTGTTGTTCTTTTGGGAATTCTCTCTTTCAGTAAAGATTTGAGATTGGGACAGTTATAATTTTTTTTATATATTTTATAACACATTAACACTATAGTTGCCTGTCTTCTATTTTCTAAACTGGGTATTTTAAATTCATTTCGTAGTGCTACTGTTCTAATTGTATTATAATCCGGGTATACTTTATATTTCTTGTAATATAAAAATCTCAGAAATCTGTTTTGAATTTTTTCCAATCTATTTTTATGAACAATATAGGAAGGATGCCATACTACAGCCCCATATTCAAGTTTAGGTCTGACCAAACTATTATAAAGTGTAGTAATCACTTTAATATCATTGAAATGTGCACTTTGTCTCATTACAAATCCCATATTTCTTAGTGCCTGAGATGCTATGTAATCCAAATGAGGTTTGTACGAGAGTGTGGAGTTATAGTATATACCTAAATCTTTGACAGTCTCTACCCTGGATAATTCAAAACCATTCATTAAGTAATTGTATAGTGTCTTATTTAGTTTTCGGGTACAAGACAGGACAGAACATTTGGATATATTGATCTTCGTCGATAAACACTATTAATGTCCTCTTGTAGTTTGACACAATCTTGTAAGTTTTCGATCTGTCTATGAAAATTTAAGGTCATCTGTTCACCTAACAGATGGAGTTATAAAAGAGTGTGTTCTGCATGTGATTTTTTACAGATCCAGTCTCAGCAACCACTAACTAGCGAGCTACATGTTCACTCGAATTTATAATTTCTGAGGATGGTAGGGAAGATGGTGGGGACGGTGGCGAGGCAGACAGTGGGAACGGTGGTGGGGAATGTCCGTGAAAATGCTCACTCCTGAATGGTCCACAGTTTTGCTGGGTCATTCTAATTGGTCTCACTGTTACTAGGTTGCTCTGATTGGTCTACACTGTTACTAGGTAGCTCTGATTGGTTCAACATTGTTGAAAGGTATGCTACTGGCAGGATGTCGATTGGAGTTGTACTTTAGTCTATTTCTGACATTTTTTAGTACTGTTGCAGAGTGCACACAATTCAAAATGCAGAGAGATTGGAAGAATCCAACCTCATACACAAGTCAATAGAAATATTGTAGGACAGTCATGCGGCGTTGGAAGCTCTTGGCTCCTACCGAGCAACGTCTAAATTGGTAGCAAGTTGCTCAGAAACGATGATTGTCTCTGGTCTGGATTCCTGGTCATACTGGCCTGGAAGGCAATGAGGCTGCTGACTCCCTTGCAAAGGAGGGTGCTGCAAGCAACTTCATCGAACCATAACATGTCATTGGCATCGCTTTGGGCTTTTCCAAACAAACATTGAACACCTGGATGGCAAGAAGATTTATGGACTTCTGACAGAATCTTCCAGTATTGGCTCACTCCAAGGCGTTTATTCACCTTTCGAAGCTTGATACCAAACAGTTGTTGGACTACAGTAGGGATGAACTACGATGTCTAACAGGCCTTCTTACAGAGACTCGGACTCTCGGAAGACAATGTGTGTTGTCTCTGTTTGGAAAATGATGAAACTGCAGAGCATATACTTTGTGTCTGCTCCTCTGGGGACCGATTCAGGTTTTTAGAGTTCGGCAGGGCCGTACTCTTACCATCTGACCTGAAAGACCACTCACCATACAAAGTAATCAGCTTCGTTGAGAAGCTAGATTTATTTGGTCGGGTGTGAATAGGTGTGAGCCACAATCAACCCTTGCGGGTTGCGGTGCACCTCACTTTTGACCTAACCTAACTGGATACTACGTTCTGTGGTGGAACGTGGCCTACTAGCCTCGATTTTGTTTCAATTGTTTTGTTTCAATTGTTTGTTTCAATTGTCAATCCGGCCTTGAAAGCTTAAGTTCTCGTTGTATGTAACCTGGATAGTTGTTAAGATAAATGCACGTATCCTGATATTTGTGTACTAGTTGGGTTGTTTGTGTTTCAGTTAATTGTGTTTTGCTGAATTGTTTGTGGTGAAATCCGCTAGATTTTGTGTAGATATCAATTTGTCAATTTCCACTATATTTTTTGTTTAAGATGTATGATCGTCGGTAAGAAGCAGAATTTCGAAGATCAATTTGTGCCTTACAAGTTCGAAATTGACATTGACTATGTCTTGCACC